AGAGATACACATCCAGACACATTATAATAAAAATGTTGAAAGCCAAAGATACTGAGAACATTTGGAAAGCAGTCAGAGGAAAAAAAATGACTGATCATTTACAGGGGCACTATGGTAAAATGAACAGAGCTGACATCTCTTCAGAAACAAAGGAGGCCAAAGACAGTGGGGTGGCATTCAAAGGGCTGAAAAAAAAGTAACTGTCAATCAAGAATTCTATATCCAGCAAAACTGTGCTTCAAAAATGAAGATAAAGTTTACACATTCCTAGCTAAAAACAGAAAATTTATTACTAGCACACTTACAAGAACTGCTAAAAAGTCTTCAGGCTGAAAGAGACAGCAAATAGTAATTTGAATTTACATGAAAAAATAATAAAGAGCTCTAGTAAAGGTAATTATGTAGGTAATGACAAAACACAGTATAATTATACATTTTTTTCTTAACTAATTCTAAAAGCAGTCACATAAACAGCATCTGTAAAATTGTATTGTTATGCCTATAACATATAGAGTTGTAATATATTTGACAATAAAACATGAATGAAGCTCTACTGGAAAAAGGAATTGACATAAAGTGGTAATTAGAATACACAAGAAGAAGTGAAGAGAGTCAAAGCATATAAATAATAAGCTTTATTTAACAAAATTTCTATATACTTGAGCTCTCTTTGTTCCTCTGGCTTCTTAAAAAAGACATAAATTGGGTGGGCGTGGTGGCTCATGCCTGTAATCCCAGTGCTTTGGGAGGCTGAGGTGGGTGGATAACCTGAGGTCAGGAGTTCAAGACCAGCCTGGCCAACATGGTGAAACCCCATGTCTACTAAAAGTACAAAAATTAGCCAGGTGTGGTGGCAGGTGCTTATAATCCGAGCTACTCAGGAGGCTGAGGCAGGAGAATCACTTGAACCAAGCTCAGGTTGAGCTAAGATTGCACCACAGTACTCCAGCCTGGGCAATAAGAGCGAAATTCCATCTCAAAAAAAAAAAAAAAAAAAAAAGACATAAGTTGTTATAAAGGAATTATGACAATGCATCATTGGGTTTGTAATATATATAGACATTGGGTTTGTAATATATATAGACATTATGTGAATAAGAGGACAAAAAGATGAAAGGGAGGAGAGCTATCTGTGACTAAAGTTTCTATGTCTTACTGGAATTGAATTAGTATAAAGATGAAGTAGATTCTGGTAAATTAACATGTATATTGTAAGCCCTAGAGCAACCTGTATGAAAGTATCACGAAAATATAGTTAAAATTATTAAAAGAATTAAAATAGTGTGCTTGGAAGTATTCACTTGAGACAAAGGAGATAGTAAGAGAGGAAAAGGGGAACAAGATAGGATAACTATTTAAGGACCATTAGCTGGGTATCCCATGATGTGGTGCTCAGTACTCAATAATCTGACTGATTTAAGACTGAATAACTTTTCCTTATTAGGCTCATTTCCTCCCTAAAATTAATATTTATTCATGGTTCTCTTCGTGTTTTTAATTTTTGAAAAATTATTATGAATCCACATAACATTTTATTTTAGTTGATTCTCATATTAAATTTTCTGCTTCATCATCCTCCCCTTACCATTAGTCGTTTAACTAAATGCTCACATGATATTTATTCTCTGAAATATAAAGATGCATTAATTTATATGCATGTTCTGGCCCCACACATATCTAGAGGAACAAAAGCAATCATTGATTTTGAGATGTATTTCAGTGGGATGCATCAAAACAACCATTTCATGGCTGGCTTCGTATCCTAATATTTCTTAAAGAGGAGTGTGGTTGTGTACAGGCGAAGATGATAGTGATCATTAATGGTGCTCACAATTACACAGAGAGCATTGCATATTTACACAGAGCAATGTGTTTAGAAATATGTGTATTATCTATGTTTATATAATTTTGTATATTTATGATAATATATGACTTTGATTAATGGCAGGTTTGTATGTGTGTGCACATACATACAGTAGAACTTCTACCTTGAAGCCTTATGGATGTGCTTTGGTGCTTGGAAACATGGGTGTTCTCCTGGCATAGATCTATGACAGTTTGGCAGGACTGTTAAGTATACCCTGCCTGCATGCAACGCCCAGCTCTGCCATTGTTTTTAGTCATGTTAGTTGATATCTAGAAAATGTAATAATAATGGCATCATGGTGTTCTTGAAGATTAAATGACTTCTTAATGCATATAAAGTCCTAGAAAGCACCAGACAAATAGTAAGTGCTCAGTTTTAGGTATCATTCTTGATCTTCTTCTGATTCTGCTCTTCCAGGAGATAAAAGTTTTGTTTTGTTTTGCTTCACATCTGGATCATGTGTTAAATTTAGATTGTTTCCAATCTAAGAAGAGATCTTCATAATATGTCTTATTGTAATCGTGTTTGCAACTGTCTCACTTTTATCTGTAATCCCTTTACAGTTTGCAAATTGTAATGTGCTGCTATTAGCATGTCGTGAGTGTCACCTGGGAGATTGCTGATTTTCAGGAATATCATAAGTGCGTTTATATTACTTTTCATGGATCTTTCGTGTGATATCTACACAGGGTAGGGGCATGAAACAACACAGACTATTTTGGCATCCTTCAATGTGGTCTGCCGGACTCTTGCTTCTCCCTGTTTCAATTCTTTCTTGTATGAGGGTAGGGGTGTTTTTCTCTTTTGTTCACTGTTATGTCTACCACTGTTATGTCTACCACCTAGAAGAGTGCCTGGCAATCAGTAGTCACAAAGAAATATATTATAGCATCTCATAATCTAAAACCATTTACTTAGCTTTCCAGTAGGTACCCAAGTCCCCTGATTTTATTCTGGTCTCAAACTACCTTATACAACCATTTGTTAAAAATGTATGTCAGATGCTGTAATAGTCTGTTTTCACACTGCTATAAAGAAATACATGAGACTGGGTAATTTATAAAGGAAAGAGGTTTAATTGACTCACAGTTCTGCATGGCCCAGGAGACCTCAGGAAACTTACAATCATGATGGAAGGAGAAGCTGGCATCTTTTTCACAAGGCAGCAGGAGAGAAAAGAGCATGGGAAGGAGGAACTGTCAGACACTTATAAAACATCAGATATTGTGAGAACTCATGAGAACAGCATGGGGGAAACCACTGCCATGATCTAATCATCTCCCATTAGGCCCTCTCTCAACACATGGGGATTATGGGAATGATAATTTGAGATGAGATTTGGGTGTGGACACAGAGCCAAACCATATCAGATGCTTCTGTTAAATTGAATAGTTTGCCTACCGCCTAGAAGAGTGCCTGGCAATCAGTAACAACAGAGAAGTATATCATAACATCTCATTATCTGAGCATCCTCCTCTTTATTTCCTTTATGTCTGTAGAGCTACTACCTGATCTACCTGTTGAATATGATGCCATTGCTTCTTTCATTACAAACCCTACCCATCTATCAAGACCAGCTCAGACTCTATCCCATCTACCTTAATCACCTGCATTCTTCATCTTCCCTCCTCTGAATGTTATCTGTATTGTATGTATTTCCTATCATTTAACCACTTGTATGTCCAGTACAGTTACTTGTGCTTTCTGTATCTCTCTTTAGAACGGGACCTTGTCTATTTCACCTTTGTATCCTCCATAGTGCATATAGGTAGTGAATATTTGACAACAGCAAATATTTAGTAAAGACCTACTCAGTGACAGATACTGAACCCAATGACAGATTTGCTTTCTAGGAATGTAAGTGATATTCTTCTCCTCTGTTTCCTAAAAATGTTTGCCTAGTGAGTGTTTAAACACATTTATATGTTGAACATCATAGTGTTTTGAAACAGTCCTTGGACTTGGTATCAGATATACTGAGTCAAATCCAGGGAGGCTGTGTGACTTTGGTATGATAAAACAGCCCTTTAAGGATCTTGGTTTTCTTGTCTGAAAGTAGGAGTAATAGAATCACACTGTAGCATTAATTGAGGTAACATATTGTGGCGGGAGGTCTGGAGGGGATCCTAACCAAAGTACTTAGACTGAGGAAGGTATCAAATAAAAGTAAGTTTTCAGCCAGGCACAGTGGCTCACACCTGTAATCCCAACACTTTTGGAGGCCAAGGTGGGTGGATTGCTTGAGGTCAGGAGTTCAAGACCAGCATGGCCAACATGGTGAAACTCCACCCGTACAAAATATGCAAAAATTGGCTGGGAATGGTGGCATGTGCCTGTAATCCCAGCTACTCAGGAGGCTGAGGCAGGAGAATTGCTTGAACCAGGGAGGCAGAGGCTGCAGTGAACCAAGATTGTGCCATTACACTCCAGCCTGGGCAACAGAGTGAGACTCTATTTCAAAATAATAATGATAATAATAATAATGACTTTTCATCTTACCCTATTTGAATAAAAGTAAAATAGTTTTTCAAGGGTGTCATTAGCTTTATGTTGTTGTTCTGACTCTGCCTCTATCAGATATTCTTTGAATGGGATAAACAAACTCTCACAATGTCTGGGCACTGGGGATGTTATGATGCCAGACCATGCTGCTACTTTATCCTGCCTCTAAAAGCTCTATGGTGCATATTGATTTCTCTGCTGTGGTGTTTATAAACTCCTGCTCTCCTCCTATTCTTCGTGAAATACAGAGGTTCTAAGTTGTGTTTTATGTACTTGTGTTTTGTCTATAATGTGCAGAATTGCAAACAATGCTATTTGTGGGGGTATTTCACTTTTTCAAAATATCTTCACATCCATTATTTAATTTGGTACTCTTGACAAAGTCTATGAGCTTGGTAGCGAAGGTACCAGTGTCATAATCCCTTTACAAATGAAGACATAGAGCCTCAGAGTTTAAGTGGTCTGCCCAGGGTCACACCGTTAAAGGGGGTAACAAAAACGGTTCATCAAAAACAAGTCACTGGGCTACAAATCTGGCACCCTCTCTACTTTGCTTAGCTTGAAAGCAAAGGGGTATTTGGCAACCTTAACATCCTTCATCCTAATGATCTTCTCCATTCTTCTTTGGCAGAGGCATCCATCCTGAGCTATGATGGCAGCATGTACATGAAGATCATCATGCCCATGGTCATGCACACGGAGGCAGAGGACGTGTCCTTCCGCTTCATGTCCCAGCGAGCTTATGGGTTACTGGTGGCTACAACCTCCAGGGACTCTGCTGATACCCTGCGTCTGGAGCTGGACGGGGGGCGTGTCAAGCTCATGGTTAACTTAGGTATCGTATGAAGTACCCTCTGCCACTCTGTTTGGGCTTGTCTTCCCTTTCTTTTCTGATTTTCATTGGTTTGATTGAATTCTTTGTTTGTTTCTTGAAAGTTAGCTGCTCACCTCTTATTTAATAGACCAAGGATAAAACCCAACAGCAACAAACACCTCCTTGTTTCTGCATGAGGTTTTGATGTCAATTTCTGGTTTCTGACAATGGTGATTTCTTTACTAAATTATTTGTTTTCTAAGTTTCCTTTCTTGTTTTTTGGAATCGTTTAGCTTTGTGTAAAACACGCTACTTTGGTCCATCTTTTGATCAATCATATTCCCATAAGTCCAACTCCTCGGTCACCACTCAAAACAGTCAAAGCTGAGGACAGGGACAGGGCAGGAAGTGGAGGCAAAATGTGGATGTGGGGTTGTAGGAAATTAAACTCCGTGGGTAGTGTGAGAAGTACATTGTTTCTAGCTCCATAGTTACTATTCAAATGGAGAATTCTGGTGGCCTTGATGTCACTGATATCTCTTTTGACCTTCTCCTAGTGGGAGGACAAGTAGATTGTTGTTGCCTTGGAAAATAATTCCCTAAGTTGAGAGTCTGTGATACATGGAAGGAAAATGTGGCTCCTGATATGTCCCATTTTTCTTGACATTCGTAGCCATCACTCAGCATCCCTTTGTGCAAAGGTTGTTACCTTGTACTAACACTCGCTAATAACTCTCTTCTCCTCGCATAATACGTTTCTGTTTTACCTCAGAGTTGAAAAATTATAACTTCAAATTTGTAGCTTTATTGGAATAGGATTTTCTCTTTCATTGTAATTACCCATAACAGAATCTTTGGAAATTTTCCTATTTATGGCCTCATATTCTCTTCTGCTATTGACCTTTACTGAATTCTGATTGATATTCTATAGAGATTGGGGTCTTGTTGGTTTTTGAAAAGAAAAAAAAAAAACCTCTATTTCTGCTATTTCTAATCAGCAGATAGTCAATACCCAGCATTGATAAGATAACTGAGATAGCTGAGTCCCAACTTTCTAAGCTGTTGGATTTATCTGGGTATGCCGGATGTGTTTGGATATAGTGATACCTTATAAAGAGTTGAGTGCAATGGTTTTTGTCAGAGCCATGGAGAAGAAATGAACAAATGTACCAGACGCAAGATCCTATGTAGGGCTAGATGTCCTGGTGAGAAGGTGGGGTTTTTGAATCCATACCAGTCTTATCCGCTGTTGGGTCAACTGGACACGCTTGGAAAATGCCTACACCATAACCTAAAATCTCTGGGACACAAAGGACTGTTTTGAGCAGTGACTTATTTAGTTACTCTTTTTTTTTCTTCTAGTTTGCAGCATTTACAACACTGTGCCCTTTTTCTTGTCCAACTTCATTTGATTTCTGTTGTCAGTGTGTCTCTTGGTTTTCTTTTGTTTGTGTATGTGGGTGTTCAGTCATTTTATGTTTTTTTACTATTATTATTTTTGCTGGACCTTTTTGTGTGCGTGTGTTCTTGAGTTTCCAATCCTCTCCACCATCAACCATGGTAAATCAAAAGATGGTATTCAACCCTTCAAAGGCCCAAAGCCTGCGGCCCGCATAGCAAACAGCCTTGAGAACACAGCGTACTGAGCAGCCTACAGAGACTGGCATACCCCTGACCCTGCTGCCTTCCATCCCTGCACCATCCTCCCCACCTTAAATCAATGTAAGAGTGTGTTACCTAAAACCAACAGCCAGCAGCTGATTCTCTCCTTCTCAGAAAAACAGCAGAAGAAATAAAAAAAAAAAAACAGAACCAAATACAACCCCCTGACTAGCTCACTGAAAAAGATGAGGAAGACCATTTTCATCTCTGGATCCATTTCAAAGTCAGAGAGAAACAAACATATGCGAATGATTCAGCCCTGTGGGATCCTGAGGGAGTGCACACTGTGTCATGAAACAGACATCTTTTTCCCCATTAGATGTTGTTTAGTAAAGATTGGAGTGTCAACTTTGACAGGTCTCATATCTTAGGAGGAAAAACTGGGGTCAGCAGGGGTAGAAATAAAAAGGTATTTAGGAAATAGGTATGCAGATTCTCAAACACGCACATACATACATACACCTTGAGTTAGTCATAGAAAAGGCAAAAAAAAAATTGCCTTTTTTTGAGTTAGGCAAAAAAAGGCAAACAAGGAAATAGGTATATAGATTCTCATTCTCTCTCTCACACACACATACATACGTACACCTTGAGTTAGTCATAGATCTCATGTGCATTCCTAGAAGCATTATTTTATTTTGTGACTGGGTTTCACTCTTGTGGCCCAGTCTGGAGTGTAAGGGCGCCATCTCTGCTCACCACAACCTCTGCCTCCCAGGTTCAAGCGATTCTCCTGCCTTAGCCTCCTGAGTAGCTGGAATTACAGGCACATGCCACCATCCCCAGCTAATTTTGTATTTTTAATAGAGACGGGGTTTCTCCATGTTGGTCAGGCTGGTCTCGAACTCCCGACCTCAGGTGATCTGCCCACCTCTACCTCTCAAAGTGCTGGGATTACAGGCATGAGCCACCATGCTTAGCCTATTTTTGTATTTTAAACTCTAGCCAAAATCTGGGAGATGTGCTTTTCCAGTAGACTTTGCTCTTTTTTTTACTTTGCCTTTATCTTCTTTTGTTGCAATTTCAGTCTACCTCCTGCTGAGTTGAACAATCTCAGTAAAAAGAGAGGTAGCCTGTCCGAAGAGAGTACTGTGCTTGTCCAGAAGCAGTAGGTAATTTTTTTCCCTGAAGGATATGGTTCATCATAATTATGGCTTTCCTTCCAACCTGACATGGAAAACTGAATTTAAACTCTTACACTTGTATAGATGCAGCTCTTCATATCCATGCTTTGTTTAAATGTTTTCCTTCCATCCCCTCCCCAAAATATGCCCCTTTGTAAATATTTTCTTCCTCTGTGCCAGGAATGTATATTTCCTTTTTCTTGGTTGTAGAAGAAAATGTCTCCAAGTAGAGTTTGCCTTCACATGCATTCCACCAAAACTAATTCCAAACGATGACTTTGCTCCCTCACTCTATTCAAGTTGTGTTTTTTCAACTCATGCACTAATAATGTTTTAGTTTATTTCAAATTGATCACACATATACACTCATAATGTAAAAGCCTAGTGCATGTTTATCTGATGTAACACATCTTCCAAACGTCAAGGAGACGAGGGTTTTCTAATGGCTTTGTCTTCTGCAGGGAGCCATATGTGGTGCTCACAGGTATGAGAAACATCCTGTAACACAGCACAACTTTTAAAAAGTTGAGAGGTTGAGTTTTGATCAACCATATTTTGATCCTTTAGAATTATAAGCTACAACCTTTTATTATTACAGCATATTTAAAGATTTAAAAGACCTTGTCTTATTATAATCTCATGATAATTTTGTGAGAGAAATCAATCAAGTGTTTTTATGCTTACTTTTACAGATGTGTAGCACAGAGAGAAATACAACTTTTCAGAGCTTTCATAAGAAGTTGGAGGCAGAGCTGGAACTAGAACCCATGTCTCTAAACTGCTAGATCAGCGTGGGTTATTTGTTCCCTTCACAGATCAGGACTATGGGTCAGTGATGTGTCAGTCTTAATGACTTCCAACTGTTTTCACGATGGTCACCTTTGAAACATGCACAGAGGGAATCTCCATTTTCCTCAGTGCCCAGTTTGAATTAAGCTGCACAAGAGAAAAGACTGTTGATATGGGCAAAGCCTTTAAAAGATCCTTAGCAGAGTGCCAGGAGCCCTTGTTCAATGGCAGAGACTCTGAGGGAGTGACTGGCAGTTTGGCTAATTGCATTTGAATTCTCCAGATGTTCTGTCTCTGGAAATGTGGACTTGCTTCCACCGTTTATTGTATATATTATTGAAGACACACAGCTCTTAGAAACATTTACCTCTCCCATGCTCAACCCAAAGCTCACCAATGAGAAAATCTTTCTTGGCCAGGAGCAGTGGCTCACACCTGTAGTCCCAGCACTTTGTGAGGCCGAGGTGGGCGGTTCACAAAGTCAGGAGTTCAAGACAAGCCAGGCCAACATGGTGAAACCCTGTCTCTACGGCAGTACAAAAAATAGCCTGGCATGGTGGTGAATACCTGTAATCTCAGCTACTCAGGGGGCTGAGGCAGGAGAATTGCTTGAACCCAGGAGGCGGAGGTTGCTGTGAGCCAAGATTAAGCCATTGCACTCCAGCCTGGGGAAATAGAGTAAGACTCTGTATCAAACAAACAAAAAAAAAAAAAGGAAAAACTTTCTTATCATTTACCATAATTAAAAAAAAATAGTTAAAACAGGCAACACACAGATATGCACATATAAGCGTCAAAAGACATGTCAGGACGTAGACAGACTTTTTTCAAGCAAAGAAAAATCTTTCTGCTACCAAAGGTAGATCTAAAGGAAATTGCCTTCCCAACTCAGTTCTTTCACTCATTTTTTTATTTAAAAGAACCACATATATAAATATGTGTGTGTGTGTGTGTGTGCATGCACACATATTTATACATACATACACACACATTCAGTAACAAGAACACCCCCCTCAGAGCCTCTCAAGAAGGTTCTGGGATAGATTTTCCTTCTCAAACCATTTACTCTTCAGGTAAAATAACAAAGTAATTCTTCACTTACTGATGTAAAGTAAGCAAACTGCCTGCCATCTTGGAAGCTCCAAGCCTTCACATTGGTTTAAAAACCCCATCCACTTTACATGACATCATTTGGGTGACTCGTAGAGATGAGCCCAAGCCAGCACCTCTCACTAGGGCAGCTTCTTACCTAATAATAAAATCCTTACTCTTCCTCTCTCATAAGCAAGCCTGTACACCAGTTTCCCCTCTCTCTTTAATGTGTCAGGAAGGGACATTTCTCCAGCTTCAGGTGATGGTAGGTGCAGTCAGTAGCTGAAGCCACCACCTCTTCCACCCTCCCTTCCCTCCCTCCTTCCAGTCCTCACCAGGGGCACGGCCTCCTCTGTCTGGTGATCGTACCAGTTGCTCCAGGGCTGTTTGCTCCCACTTTTCTGTTGCGGTTGACGACACATGACAAACCTAACCGCACGAAACCAAACCCAGATTTTTCTCAAGAGATGTTCTTCTCGGGAACAAATAAGCATTCTGCCTCCTTCCTCAGAATAACTGGGTGTTTTAAATGGCTCCTCTCCAGATTTCACATAGCTTCATTCTGCCCTTTATTCTTACTCCTTTACAATGATTAACTTTGGGGAATTCACATGGTGGCATCATCTTTGACAAGTCCTATAAAAACTATTGGGTCAACTTAAGACAGAACAAGAGTACGTTGTGACTATGTCTTCCCCTCTACTTTTTGTACTTTAAAAAAAGAATTTGCTCCCACCTTTTAATATACAACGGTAAACAAATCCTTATTGGAATTTCCACTGTGATAAACCAACCTTAGGCTGAACTGGGCAGCTTGGTAACAACTAACCTGAGACCTTTCTCTGACACTTTCTGCCCAGTGCCCTACTACCGCCCACTGATTCTACTCAAGGACTTCTATATTGTGTGTACATGACTCTCAAGCAGAGATTAATACGGTGATAGTTATGCTGATCTCTGGCACAGAATACCTTGTCTGATTACCAGCACTGGTCAATTAGTCACTCTTTTCTTCCCTTCCTTTCCCATTTAAAACAGTGAAACCAAAACCAAAAAGTTTTCTCTCCTCAAGATGCAGAATCACAGAGTGAAGTACTCAGGAGGTCAAAGGTGCCGAGACCTCCTCCACACGTGCCTGTCTTGCCTTCTCCCTGAATGCTGTGGGCACTTGATTCAGTCTGAGCATTCAGGCAGGAAGACATAGATGGGCTTCCTGAGGGGGTTGGTCTGGGAGCCTTTGAATCACTAGTAATCAGAGAACCCAATTCACTGTGATAACATCAGACACCTCCTTTGACCCTACACCCGACCCCACCTCTCTAAAATCTGGGATGGGTGTTTGTGCGGTTAGCTGTTTGCAAGTGGCCATTTTATGACAGGAAATGACCAGGTGGTGTTAACCCTTTCCTTACCTCTAAGGAATACGGCAAGTCTGCCAATGCACATTTCTATAGCATTTGGGGACCAACCTAGGGAGAGGGTGGAGGGAGTTTGTTTTTAGAAAAAGAGAAAGGGTTAAATACTTCACTGAGAAACTTAATGGGCAGATTTTTTAAATGATACAATGTGTCAGACTGGTGATATATCTTTGGAATACTAATACAAAAATTTTACTAATGCTACTTTTAAAAATGAATTTTAAGAAAATAAATTATAGGGAAAAATAGAATATAACCTACATTTGGTGGGAAAATTTTTGCCTATTTTTCCAAGTTTAACAAAATTAATATTTTAAAGTCCGGGTTTAAAATACTTTATATAAACGAATAGGTTTTTTTTTTAAAAAACAAAACAAAACAAAACATGTTTGGTGTCTACTGTGGATATATATGTATACCAGTATATATCTCTATACATATGTGTATATATATGTGTGTGTGTGTATATATATATGTATCCAACTTTACTAAATAATATACTGTACATATACACCCACCCTTAAACTTGTACATACTGTATATATATAAAATGGCCACATTTCTTACGTGTGTCTGTCCCCGGAAGGGTGGACTGATGGTTTTTGGATGTCTGCAGCTGTTACCTTGAAGGATGCAATTTCATCTTTCATTTATTTTTCCCCATCTAGACTGTATCAGGATAAACTGTAACTCCAGTAAGTTTTCCCTCAAGTTTCATTTTGTTCTTTAAAAAAAAAAAAACAAACTGAGTTTATTTTGTTTACTGTTTTATGAGCTGTTTTTTATTTGAATTATTTTTTCTTTTAACAATGGAGTTGGGGGGAACTGGGGCTAAGAAGATGGGGGCCTGGGTGAGGGTGAAGGGCTGAGTGTGGTTTGGGGTGTGGTTTCTGGGCAGGTCCTCTCTTTTTTTCCTTGCATTTGCTCTATATGAAGAAAAGAAGGCAAGGGCACATTGAAATAGTGAAAAATCAACTTGGGAAGATCATTTATTGTCTTTGGGAAGTAACTCTGAGAGTGAACAAAAAGCTTTAGGGCAACCAGCATGCACTTCTCCACTACCGAACACTTCAGAAAATAAAAGCAAAGTTCTTGACCCAGAGGTGGCTGCCAACTCTGACCTTTCTTTCCTGGTGTTTATCACCTTTGGGAACTTCTAACAGGGTGGGCAGATCACTGCTACTCGTGATAAGCCAACGCTTCAACCAAAGACTTGAGTCTGGCTCTGCAAAAGGAAGAATTGTAATATTATTTTCACCTTCTCCCGTTCAGATACCCTCGTTCTTCGGAAAGTGTTCTAACACGGTACAGGATGAAAACATCTCATGTGTTTCTTCCTGCTCATTAAAAGTAAACACTAACTAGAGTCAACATAGAAGGGGAATATGAAGATAAATAGAAGAATAGGCATGAGAGAAAGAATAGGCCTAGATGATAAAAGGAAAAAAAGGAAGACACATGCTTTGATATATACTATAGCATATTATATTAGGCTGATTAATACTAACTACTGTAACAAGCAATCCCAACATTATAATGGCTCAACAAAAGAAGGGTTTATTTCTTGTTCAGGCCTTATTTCAAGTCCAATACTAATTGAGCAGTTTCCCCAGACAGCTCTCCTCAAAGAGGTAAACCAGGGATCCAGGATCCTTCCATGAGGTGGGTCCACCATCTTGGAGTTCTTTACTTCTGGCTGTATCCATAGGGAAGAGAAAGGGAGCGAGAGAGCTTGAGTGGTGTGCAGTAGGTTTTATTGCCTTGCTTGGAAGTAAGAAACATCACTTCTATTCATATTTTATTTGCTAGACATGAGTCCATCCTACTTGTGAAGGATGCTGGGAAATGTCATCTTCTAGTGCACACAGGAGAAGAAAAACTGGATTAGTTGAATATCTAGCATGTGTAATTTTCCATATTATCTCATCATTTTAAAAATTCTTTCCTCGCTAGGGTCTTTCTGTAGGAACAAAAGGAAAAATCCAACTTCTACATTTGGTTTACTTGCTGATTTCATCCCAATAAGTCTTTTATAGGTGCTAAAGTTCTTTCTTGGTGGAAGCTATATTATGGGCATGACAAACTAATAAAGCCCAATTCTACTTTTGGTGGGGTGCAAATGTCCCATCTAAGTTAATAACGCAAAAAGAAGACATTGAAGATTGATATAAGCAACTGCTTCCAAAATGAGTGCTTTATCCTCGGCTTGGCATCACTTACAGTTATTTTAAGCACTGCCCTATTTTCTGTGTTTAAATATTTCTAATTAGCCAGAAATTTGTTATGATATTTAGATCATTAAAAGCCTAATTGAAATATCCTTTCTCTCCAAAGCCTGGAGTTTTCTGTTCCTGTATTTTTTTTTTATTTGTTTGTTTTTTTTAAGCAGCTTTATTGGGGTCTAATTTTTATACCGCTACATTTACCCATCATAAACCTACAACAGTTCAAGGACTGTAATTACATGTATAAAGTTGTCCAAACATCACCACAATCACATTTTAGAACGTTTCCATCATTCCCAGAATTTCCTTTCTGCTCTTTTCCAGCTAATCTCTGCTCCTACCCATGGTCCTAGGTAACTATTGATGTGCTCTGTTTCGATAAATCTGCCTGTTTGGAAATTTCATGTCAATGGAATTACATAAATTGTTATGTAGTCATTTGTGCCTTGCTTTTTAAAAAAATTTTTTTAATAGCATTTCTATGGAAATCTTTTCTCTTTCCTTTTGCACTGGTTTTCAGAAGGAAATAAGGTAAAAACTTAGCATGAAGGTGGAAAGCCTCATATCCAAAGCTACATCTAGCATCTTCTAGCTTCAGAGACTTATTTGGAGAAGAGGGAACTGAGGCAATTATTTATCAGGATATCAGGATTTGCTTTTGCTTTCTCTATCCACGCTTTCTCATGAAGTCAATCCCATATATTCTGTATGATCAGCCACATAAAGCCATCATAAGACAATTTCCAGGATTCTCTCTGTTGGGAAGATAGTGACACAGATGTCAGCAGGTTTTAATTTGATAAAATATTTTCTAGTTTCAACCACCAAAAACAGCATTGAGAGGAAAACATCTCAGCAGAGGTATGTTCCCAGCTTTGATCACAAACCATAGAAAGAATATAACTGATTTCAATTCAGTACTTACGTAAAGAATCAAGATTAGATTTTGGAAATTATTTTTAAGATTTTCCTAATAAACCTTTACCATACTAGGAACATTAATAGTGTTGGAAATATAATATCAGAGACCTAATACAGTGTTCACTGGTTAAACAGTGTTTGACTAGAAAAAACCAACACACATGGGTCTTTTAAAGTAATCTAACAGCTTTAGAGCTAAACAATGTAACCAAGCATCTAGGGTTATGCAGAGTCACAAAGTCAATATGGCACATTTTTTCTGAAGCTAATTTTAATTGTTAATCTCGAGTAAAAGTTTAAATTGAAACCACATCGATAAATTATGCAGAAGAATGCAAATAAGCATGAATGTTTAAGAAAAAAAGGATTTGAATAAGAATTCAAAGATATTTCATTTTTATTGTGTATCTTCTCTATTTCATCTCTTCTATTATTGGCATTTGAGTGGAAAAGTTTGAGAAGACTGCAGTTAAATTTGGGGAGAAAAAGGGTATATGCGATTCGAACTTCTAAGCCCTTCTTCTTCTTGACTCCCTGTCAGATTTCATAGCTTGACCCATTACAGGATCTCAAGTTGTTTCTGTAATAGTTGTGCAGATCCTTGCTCTTCCTTGATTTTCAACTGTGAGAATATTTGCACCCTGGGTTTGAGAGGGAGGGACCTTTCCCTCAGCCTTGCCTCTTGCTGTTATTTCAATAGAAGTCATAGGGTACCTTGCTTAATTTTAAAAACAGAGCTTCTTTTTTTCCCCCTTGAAGGAAAATACTGAATTAAATTTGAATCAAGGTGGATTATAAGTTTGTGAACTTTTCTAGTCATTCTTTCTTAGGATGCCAGTCCTTTGAAAAGTCACTCGGGTAAAATACTGAATGACATCAGCTATTTTTTTCCCCTATTCTCTGTTATAAAATATTGATTTTTTTGTGGGAAATGCCTATTTCCAAGGCATTCTGTGACACTCGTTAATGGAGACAAGAGCATGAGAAAGCAGGATGATCTTCCAGCATCAAGAGAAAACTGTGGGCCATGAGAGAGAACAGTGATCTTGAGGTGGAAAAAACGCAGTTTTCTTCTAGCCTTCTTCCTTTTGGTTTTGCTGTCTGGCCTTTTTGTTGGAGACTATGGCCCAGTTCCATGCCAAGAATTTCCCACCAAGAAGCAAAAACAATATTCTAATGAGCCGCTTTCTCTTTCTTCCTTTCCTAACTTCTCTTTTTTTAATAGTTTGTCTTTTCTCATGATATCTATGATATATTCATTATTATTCATTACAAATCTTACTACCCCTGCTTTCCAAATCCTCCAAGAATACCACATCATAAATTCCTCTCTAGTTACTATCAACAAGCATACATTAGAGAGTGTGCAAATCAAGGTCTTTGGTTGAATCAAGGTCATTGCTGGATTTGATTCATCTGGCAGAAATCTATTTGAAGACACTTAATATATACAGTTCTAGCTTAGAATTTATTTTTAAATTGCAAAAGAACAACAGAGTTGGCAGCCATCATGGTGAATTGAACTCTAGGGTGACCTGGAACACTGGTAAAGAAAACAGGGCTGGCTGGGTGTGGTGGCTCACGCCTGTAATCCCAGCACTTTGGGAGGCTGAATTGGGCGGATCACAGGTTAAGTGATCGAGACCATCCTGGCCAACATGGTGAAACTCCATCTCTACTAAAAAATACAAAAATTACCTGGAGGTGGTGGCAAATGCCTGTAATCCCAGCTACTCGGGAGGCTGAGGCAGGAGAACTGCTTGAACTCAGGGGGCAGAGTTTGCAGTGAGTCCAGATCGTGCCACTGCACTCCAGCCTGGTGACTGAGCAAGACTCTGTCTAAACAAACAAACAAACAAACAAACAAACAAACAAAACAGAGCTGTTTTCTGGAGGAAATGACCTGTTCCTATGGCTCTAGTTCCATAAGGCTGGTGGTCACCTAAGAGGCATGCAGTTCTGAAAACAGGTATGAATTTCTCGTTGGTGTGATGAGCGCACAAATGAAAGTATGGAAAATGGCTTTTTCTCTTTGACCTTGTCTGATTGTGCCTTTGCCCTATGACTTCCTAGCCCCTAATTTATTCTATCCCTTTTAAGCCATGTGCAGTATGAATGAATATAGAGAACTAATATTACTTAAATATATGTATAGCTTGAATGAATTTAGTAAACAGATATTAATGAATTTCAACTTTTCCTTTTTCTATCTCTCTTTCCTCTCAAACGCTAATTCTTCTGTGTTGTGGCCATTTTCATTATCTTTCTAACATGGAGTGTATATGTGGCATGGGAATTGTGAGTTTGTGTAGATGCCTGATTATTTAGGTATATGTAACAACATCTCTCTCATTAATTACTTTGAACCTAAAGACTCACTAATTTATCTGTGACAAGGTTTATTTTTTTCTTCTAAGACACTGAGGAGAAAGTAAATAGAGTGCTATACAAAAATGTATTGACCTTAAGACACTCAAGTACCACAGTAGAGTTGTGTCAGAGAATAGCTTTGACGATCTTGTCTATTTCCTACATACCCTGATATCTTT